TAGCATCCACCAAAAATAAACCCATTCCAGAGTGAAATATTTTACCACCGGGCTCAGGAATTGCAACTCTCTCAACCTGGTTGCAGATGAATAATATCCCACAGATAAATTGCCGTCCAAATGGAGAAAAAAGCAATTCGATCATCCTAGCCCACCAACAGAAAAACCTGCCTTTTAAAATCAACATAGCAGTAGTGACATAACCGAGAGATAGCCACGAGCCCACCCACCGAAATACCTAATTAATGACGAAAGAAGGATCAATTGAAAGTAGGCATTAGATGTAATTTTCATTCTACTCATTCGTATTTGATTAATGTCATTGTGAGTATTAATATGGTGATGTTTGTGATTCAGTCATGATTATATTTCGACAAAATCGTTGGTGATTCTATTATTAACATATGAAATAGACCATAATATTTAAGGAGAATTTCTAAAATAAATATAGCTTATAGATGCACGAGATCGAAGAAATTATGTGATATAAGTATTTCGAGAATAATTTTGCAGTCTATGTGGGAAACAAATTTGAATTTTGTTAGCAAATTAGATTTCTCATATCTATAATGTTAAAATATCATTTTAATTTATTAGGAAATCAGATTTTACATGTGAAGTAAATCGCATTTCCTACATTAGGAAATATATAATTCCTTATATATATATGGTCTAAGAGTAGGTAATCTAAACACATACATCACATAAATTGATATGAAATATTTGAATAGATATCTTTTTAGGGGATTATGGAAATCCTATATAAATGCTCCTTTAATTATGATCCCTCGTGCACTAAGATTTTGTTTGGGATGACTTTCTTATTATTTTTTAAACAGCTCTCTAATAGAAAAATTAAATTTTTAGTACTAGAAAGTTGCTTTAAGAAGTACTAAGAATGCCATCCCAAACGAAGCCTAAGTCATGCATATTGTCTTCTTCTCCCCATCAAGAAAAGTACACATAGAGGAACAAAATTGATATGGATGTGGAAGATCACATAACGTACACCAAATTTATACTTGAACAATTACTATAGTATTCTGCAATATCAAGAAATCATTATCAATGGATGTAGGAATATTCTTTGAATATATGAATTTTAATAACACTTGGGCTTCGTTTGGGGTGGCTTTCTTACAGCTTTTTAAAGCAGCTTTTTAGTACAATATTTTTTAATTTTTATATTAAAAAACATCTTTAAGAAACATTAAAAAAACGGTCTCAAACGAAGCCTTAGGCTTTGGTTGAGACAACTTTCTTACTACTTTATAAAACAACTTTTATAATAAGAAACTACTTCATAAAGCAATAAGAAAGCTATCCCAAACGAAGTCTTAGTATGACATTGATCACATGGTATTTGAATTTTCTTTCTTTTTTTTTTCTTTTTTGAATATTTGCTTATGGAGTTATTTGTAATTGTTGACATAATTTAAAATCTAACATAAGGATATATAGGGCTGCAAACGAACTGATCAGCCGAGCCGGTTATGTGAGTGTTTATGTTTGTGTTCATTTAATATCAGCTTGTTCAAGTTTGGTTCATGTTTGTTCGAGCTTTATTGTTTGTGTTCATTTTTTATTCATTTAAATTAATGAGTGTTCAAGTTCGGTTCATGTTCGTTCGTTTAGTGCTTATCGAGCTTGTACACGAACATATTTAATGAATTTTTTCTAACTATCAAGCAAACACATTCAAGAACATATCTATGAATAAACACATTTATAATAAAAGCAATTATCTATGTAACAAAGGCAATGATTATTTATATTTATTAATTCTATAATCAAATATTAATTATTTTTATCGAGCTTATTCACGAGTTCAAAATTGAACAAGCTTTTATCGAGCTTCTTATCAAGCTTAATGTCGAGCTTGCTCGCGAACTTCAAATAATGTTGTTTGCGAACATAAATGAGCCAAACGCATTAGTGTTCAAGTTTGTTTAAGAATCGAGTATTTAAAATATTGTTCAAGTTTGTTTGTTTAGTTAATTAAACGATCACAAACGAGCTTTAATCGAACCGAACAACTAGTAGCCTGTCGAACGTTTGGTTCGAACAACGAGTAGCCCGTCGAACGTTTGGTTCGAACAACGAGTAGCCCGTCGAACGTTTGGTTTGCTTGCAGCCTTACATAAGGAGATGGGATCTTTGTGAGGGAGCTCGTTGCGATGGGATCAATGGCCCATGAAAGACTAGAGAACTTCATGACATGAACTAGTTGGAGTCAACTCTGACGAGAATAGTAGTGTTTGAAGGACAATGGAGTACTTCATGTCAGAAGCTCGAGGTGATAAGATAGCTAGAATGAAGTGTATTATGAAATAATCTAATTCATATGATTTCATACTTATCAAAAATAAACTAAGAATGAATTTCAAATACCTTGAGAAAAAAAAATAGATTTAATTAATTAGCTAGAAAAATACTTGATCTTTATAAAACAAATATTTACAAATAAATTAATCTCAAAACTTCCACAACTAAATGAACATTTGATGCAATACATTTTTATTATATCAAATCAGATAGCCCCTTTGAAAAATTAGATATAATTTTGAATTTCTTGCAAGCCACCTATGGTTAAACAAGCTTGAATAAATTTCAATTTATTAACGCATTGGGCTTAGATAGTTTGATGGGCGAGTGTTGTTGGGAATCCTCCAACCCATATTTGATTTCTCTCTTAAGTGGCGCAACTCCTTAATTAAAGTAGGAAGAAAATAAGTTCAGCACCTATTGGGCTTGTTGCCGCTAGGCTCAATGAGGGATTAATTATTCGGCCAAGCGCCTTCTATACGAATTTTTATTAGGTCCGGACATCTAACGTAGCTCTACATCCGGAAGCCAATAAAATGTCGCCTCGTGCTCTTACTCTTTACCGTGCAGCTCGACAGCCCGACCCATAACGGAAACCCGGTATTGCTATGTTCGTGTATTGCTAGGTATTGCTTGGTATTGCTCGGTATTGCTAGGTATTGTTCGGTATTGCTAGGTATTGATTGGCAAATAACGAGAAATACTGTTCTATCATGACCAATACCGAGCAATACCTAGCAATACCGAGCAATACCTAGCAAAACCGGGGTATTGCTCGGTATTGATCTTGACACAATAGTATTTCTCGTTATCGAGCAATACCGAGCAAAACCTAGCAATACCTTGGTCTGTACAAATCAGCTAATACATAGCAATATTGGGTTCCGGTCCGGGTTGGGTCGTCGGGCCGCGCGGTAAAGAGTAAGAGCACGTTGCGACATTTTATTGGCGTCCGGATGTAGAGCTCCGTCAGGTGTCCGTTACTAATAAAAATTCTTTCTCTACAGGGGTGACTGCGGATAGATACCCGTTTCCAAAATAATAATAATAATAATAATTAAATTTATTTGACATTGTTTTAATTATTAATTTACAAATTTACCCTAATCACAAATATTAAAATAATTAATTAGTTTGAAGAGAAAGTCAAAGGGGTTTTCGTTTTTTCCTAGCGCTCCACCGCGGGTTCTAGATCGGCCGAAACATGTTTTTCAAGCCATCAGGCTCTCGATTCGGCGTTAAGAGTAGGACCCACTTTGCCCAATTTCCCGTGGACAACTCCAAACCACAGGATTTTATTTTTTCAACTGTTTCCTGGTCCGAACTCCACAGAAGATCAGCATGGCGCCACCTGCACCGCCTAATTAACCATTAACAGCGCATTCATTTCGCCTCATCTTCCAACACTCCACGAGTTCCGGATCCCGACACCCACCGAACATGTTGACCCGGTGACCCGCTGCCCTCTGCCCACCACCAACCCCAAAGCGCTGTACACGTTTCGAAGCCCAGCAATCGCTACCACATATTTTCAAACCTGGAAACATTAGTAAGGGTACAATAAAATAAAATTATAAACTTTGGCTACCAATATCTTTGACCCACAAATGATTGTGTGATCAACTACCTATTTCAACTTATAGAGAGTAATATGAAGTTATATAATCATATTTTTGTTCTAATTTAGACTTGATTTGAGAAGAAATTACTACTTGCGGATATTGTACGTAGAAATTACATTCCGATTCCAATAAAAATATGATGCTTAGGCTAAATATTATTATGTATTGATGCATATTTAGAGGTGTATAATTGTATATTTGGTAGTGCATAATAATTCACATCAAAAAATATTAATACAAAGTAATACATAGATAAATATACAGTAAAACACAATAATACTTAGTAATATATTTGTCTGCGCATCATATTTTTATTAGAGCATGCACGTAATAATTTTTCTTATTTTTTTATTGTTTTTTAAATCAGTTTTTGCTAAGTTTTTTTAAAATAAAAATTTAGTACTTTAAAAATGTTTTAAAAAATAATAAGAAAGTCGTCCCAAAACAGCCTTAGGCTTCATTTGCGATGACTTTCCTACTGCTTCTTAAAGAAGCAATAAGAAAGTCGTCCGTCCCAAACCAAGCTTTATTCTTTGTTTTGGGTAATTTTTTTACTTTTTTTTTTTGAACTGTAATCATACTTTTATTTTACTACTATATTTTTTATGATTTTAAAAGATTTGTGAGAGGAAATAATTATTTTTTATTCTAGCTCTGCTAATGTGTAGGAGCGATAAGAAGCTGCTCGTAAATTTTTCAAAAAAAATTATACTTAGAATATTCATAACAACTTAATTTTTTTTCTTTTTCTACTAGAGCTTTCAATCATCTTTATAAAAAATTATAACCATTACAAATATATCCTTAGTCATTAATTATAAAAAATTAATTCCAAATGATCTCTTATGAGTTAAATTAAGATCAATTTTCTATACAATTTATCATTTTCTCTATTGGAGAAATATTTTTAATCAGTTTTAGATTGTCAAAGAATTGATTTGGTGTACTACTAATGGGTAGAAAACTTTTAGCTTTGTTTTCCATAAAGGCTGACTAATTATGTACTTCTTTTCACACATAGTATAGTTCATATTTTCTCCATCGGCCCTATCTATATATACAGACCAAGCTACGCTATACTCCATACCTTTACCTTCTGCTTCTCTCCATCGCCATGGCTTCTCGTTCCCTTCTCTCTTTCCTTCTCCTCCTCCTCGTCACCATTACCACCGCCTCCTTCTCCACCACCACCACTCCCTCTTTTCCAACAAAGAAGCTCAAAGAAAAACACAGCCACCTCCACTTTTTCTTCCACGACATCGTCAGCGGCCACAACGCCACCGCCGTTCCCGTCATCAAACCGGCCGAAGGCGCCCATTCCAGGTCGGCCTTCGGCGCTGTAGTCATAATGGACGACCCGCTGACGGAGGGGCCTGACATGAGCTCCCAGCTCGTAGGTCGGGCTCAGGGCATGTACGCCGCGACGGCCCAAGATGAGGTGGGCCTCCTCATGACCATGAACCTGGCCTTCATGGCGGGGGAGTTCAACGGCAGCGTCCTCTCCGTACTGGGCCGCAACCAGCCACTCCATCCGGTGAGGGAAATGCCGATCGTCGGCGGCAGCGGACTTTTCCGCTTCGCTAGGGGTTATGCGCTGGCACGAACTCATTGGCTTAATGTCACCAACGGTGACGCTATCGTGGAGTATGATGTGTATGTCATGCATTATTGATTAATATTACCATTTTGCTTGTAGTTTGTATAAGTGTGCTCATCTTTTTGAGGTTACCGCAGTGCTCATTGTACCCATAGAATAAGTTTATAGTAATAAAATTGAGTGATTTTATCATTGTTTATATTTTTATGTTTTTTTATGTGAAAAACTTGATATTTTTTTATTATAATTGTTGCGTCCTATAATATTCGTGGCAACAGAGAAATATATAGTTTAACATCTTAGTTTTATATGAAAATTCAGCACATAGTTAGATAAAATAGAGGCTGCAACTTTCATAAGAGATACCTGAGTTTTTACGTGAAAACCTCTGAATATGAGAAAAAAGCCACGGGATCTGGCCCAGTTTGAAATTATCGACTACTATTTATAGTTGATTACAAATGAGGCCCCTCTTTGGGGGTAAGGCCTTGGCTTGATGTAACAAATATACATCATATGGAGTGCATTACATGCATGCATGATGAGAATAGAAAGAATCATTCTTGACGTATTCGTTTGGTCGGAGGACCATAGTCGGTGGGTGATGGAGATCAGAAAGACCATTGTCTGACGATGGAGGTCGGAAGGATTGTAGTCGGAAGGACTGTCGTCTGGCGACAGAGGTTAGAAGGATCGTAATCGGTGGGTGACAAAGGTTGGAAGGATCGTAGTCAGTGGGCCACGGAGATCAGAAAGATCGTTTTCTGGCGACGAAGGTCGGAAGGACCGTAGTCGACGGGCGACAAAGGTCAGAAAGATTGTTTTCTGGCGACAGAGGTTGGAAGGACCGTAGTCGACATGAGACTGAGATCCGAAGGACCATTGTCTTGCGACAGAGGTTATAAGGATCGTAGTCGGCGGGCAACACAAGTCGAAAAGGACGTTGTCTAACGATGGAGGTCGATCGGAAGGACTGTAATTGGTGGGCAACGGAGGTTGAAAGGATCGTTCTCTAGCAACGAAGGTCGGAAGGGCCATAGTCGGCACGTGACGGAGATCCGAAGGATCTTTGTCTGGTGATAGAGCTTGGAAGGACCGTAGTCGGCGAATGACGCGGGTTAGAAGGATCGTAGTCGACAGGCGTCGGGGGTTCGAAGGACATTTTTCTGGTCAGAGAGGTTAGAAGGACCATAGTCGGAGGGCGACGAAGGTCGAAAAGATCGTAGTTAATAGGAAACGGAGGTCAAAAGGACTGTTGTCTGGTGATTGAGGTCAAAAAAATTGTAGTAGGCTGGCGACGAAGGTTGAAAGAACCATAACCGATTTAATTTTTGAAGTTTTCAACTTTATTTTGCATCAAGATTCGTGCCCAATCAAGATATTTTTTTGATGATATATCAATAGTTATGATTATAATTTTATTTATACAAATATTACTTCTATATAGGCTGTAAGTGGGTCAAGTTTACTCTAGAATGAGCTTCAAACTCGGCTCGATGAATAGATTGTGAGTTGGACTCGATGAACTAATAAATCAGGCTTTAGCCAATGACTCAGACTCATTAGCTTGTGAGCCGACTCTTTTAAAAAGATATTGATATAAAATATACTTTAAATATATCAAAATTATGGAGTTGAAGTACAAAATTATTAAAAACATTTAAAAATTATGTTACACGTCATTATATCATGTGATTTTTCTTTATTTCTCTTTTAAAAATTTTAATTTCTTTTACCATTTATTATAATAATTTCTTGAATTAAATTGATTTTATCTCTTTCATTAAAAATGAGCTAGCTCAAATTAGTAGAATTAAGATTGAATTTGAGTATGAACAAAATCAATTAATCAAAGTCAATCTTAAGCTAAGGCATGGGTGACTTGAATTTGACTCGACTTGTTTACACCCGTTCTTCTGGAATTTGTGATTTTATCTTATAATAAAAATAAATTACAAACCCAAACTAGGGTTTAATTGAATATAATTAATTAAAAAGGAAATAAATTAATTAATTTAAAACTTAGTATATCTAAGTAAATTTACTAAATAATAATATTATTATTAATTTCTATTTTAAAATAAAATTATCACACACAGAGATATATATATATATATATATGTGTGTGTGTGTGTGTGTGTGTGTGTGTGCTCCTTATTTATTGTTCATGTCACTCTTAAAAAATTATAAATGGACCCCTCATTTCTCATGAGAGCGGATCCCTCATTTCTACCTGGCCTCCAACCGTCTTCGGATCTCTACACGATGCCGAACTTTCGCCGTTAGACTTGTGCTCATTGATGGACTTTTATCGGACTTCTACCCGACGTCGAACTTCTATATGTCACCGGAACTCTGTCCATCGCTGGAGTTCTGCCCATCGCCGAATTTCTACCCAACGCCGGACTTCAGCCCGACACCGGACTTATGCCCGTCATCAAACTTTTGTTGGACACCTACCCGACGCCGAACTTTCTCCTATAGTCGGAATTCTGTCCATCACCGGATTTCTACCGGCCGCCAAATTTTCGCCCTTCGTCGGACTTCTACCCGACGCCGAACTTCCACATGTCGCCGAAATTCTATCCATCACTGGACTTCTACCCCACGCCAGATATCCGCCCATCGTCCGACTTTCTCCCGTCACCGGACTTTCATTGAACTTCTACCTAACGTTGAACTTCCGCCTGTCGCTGGATTTATACCCCACGCCGGACTTCTGTCCATCATTGAACTTATGCCTAACATCGAACTTCCATCCATCGATTAATTAACTTCTGACCTCCATCGAACGCAATAACAATCACTCCGACTATCGTCACCATACTACGATCTTTCCGACCTCCATCGGCCACCGACTGTGGTTCTACCAACAAAACACACATATGAATAGTGAATCTTTCTAGTCCCTTCAAGTAATGCATTTTATATGTTTTATATCTATTACATCAAGCCAAGGCAAAGGGTCTCATTTGTAATAAACTACGAATACTTATGGATTTAATTAAACCGGACTAGGCCTTGCAATTTTTTCCTTTTTCGAGATTTTTCCCACCTAAAAATCTTGGTGTATCTTTAAATACTGCATCATCTTTTTCATTTGTTTTGTGTGCTAGATCTTCGTACAATGTTAAAACATTAAATTTTATATTTCTCTACCATCGTGAATATTTCAGGACGCGACAAAATATATAATTTAATTAGTTGATTATCTTTTAATTAGCATTTTTTTTTTGTTTAATTAATGGTCGCACGTGGTGCATGGTTTAATTTATTTGTATGATTAGTCAATATAATTAATGGTCTTTTTGCGTTTGACTAATGGGGCGAGGTTCATTATTTCATTATTTGGGTTGGTGGTGGTTTATTGGTTTCGAATGCTCTATGCTTAGGATATCATTTTTTGCTTACATTGAAAAAATAAATAATTTTATGCGAGAATATGAATATTATGATTTAATTTTTTATTATATTAAAAAGATATACGGTTAAAATTATTAAATAAAATTTAAAATAAAAAATGCTCAAAATGATTTATTATATTAATTTTTGTTTCTATCTAAATGATATCTACGTTTAGGCATTTATTTTCTCATTTGAATAGTGTATTTTCTAATTTTAAAATAAAATATGAGAGAAAGTAGTGCATGCCTTATCATGACTTGTTCCTTATGAACATTAACTTGTTGCATAAAAAAATAAGAAAAAATAGTGCATAATGTTCATTGCTAGAATTAATATTCGATCACATCAATAGAGAGGTTTCATTATCATAATATTTAATGAAAATTTCCACAAGATAAATGAGTTAAAGCATATTAATATTTTTAAAGTAAAAAAATTCAAGAAGTAAAAAGTTATGGATCTAATCCTACTAAGGCTTTGTTTGGGACAGTTTTCTTATTGTTTTCTAAAGTTAAAATAGTTTTTAATACAAAAATATTTTTGTATTAAAAAACTATTTTAGCAGTAAAAAAATTGTCCCAAACGAAACTTAAGTCAAATATTAAAGAAGACATCTTTTCTTATAATTTTAGTTGTTAATATAATATAGTAGATATTGAATACATAAGATCTTCTAATATTGTGGTTAGAGTAGTCTTAAGGTGTGGATTATTATTAGATGATGATGGGTAGTCATGCCAATCACTATTTTAATAAAAGTGGAGATTGAGTGATCGGGAAGGTTGACATCAAATGTGGGTAGTTGATGGACAACAGGTGCATGTTACTTGCATTCATTAATGAGCTTTAACATTAGATTTTGAACTATGGTCGATCGATAGTCTACTGAGTCATTTTTCTTTTAGAGGAGATCGACAATTGGAATGGAAAGCACCGAACATCGCTAGCTAAAAGATGTCAAACATTGATATGTGTAGATAATAGTTGAGTGGGAATGTTGGACATCAAACGATAGTCAATGATTTGCTCAATTATTCTCTTTATAAAATGGGAGATTAGTGACTATATAGACATTGAACATTAATATGAATCTACTAACAATTGACTAGAAATATTAAAGATTTGCTGATGGCCAATGTTTTGTTCAGACATTTCCCTTATAAGAGGGCATATGAGTAACTAAGAATAAGGGTGTCAGATGTTGGCGGTTTATAGACACTGAGCAATACACTACAGGAAAACTGCTCATTACCGACGGAATTGTTTCTGGCGCATTTCTGACGGATAAGGATTAAATTTTTTTCCGACTGATTTTTTCGACAGAATTTCGGACGGATTTTCAGACGGATTTTTTCAGGCAAAATTTCGGGCGGATTAAAAATTTATGAAAATAAATAATTTGATAAATTATTATAATCAATTTTAATATAATAAATAATTTACTAATAACTTCAATAATTTATTATAAAGTGTTTTAAAATAATATAAAAAGATAAAAAAATAATAATATAAAAAGTTACTAAATTAATAATTAATTTATTATAAAATTAATAATTTATTTTAATTATGTTATTAATCTTAATAATTCTGATTTATTAAATTAACCTGAAATATTTTAACTTTATTTATCTCTTTAAATAACTAAATTAAGTTTTCAATTTTATATATTAAATTTACAAATAGTTTTGATTTAGCACATATTTCTACTCCTCATCAAACTGGTTGTTCCACCGCGTGTTCGCCGCTCAAAGCGAGGGGAGACGGGTTGCGCGCGTTGCGAGATCACGCGGAGCC